ATGGATTTGTTCTGTAAATCTTCATCAGCCTAGGTGGCTAAGCTTGAAGTCTCTGTCCTTATTTATACTGTTCAATGTATAACTTAAGCCTTGAACCTAAAAGAGACTTAAAGATGATAGCATATGTAGAATGTAAAATCTGTACTAGGCTGGCTCATCTTTTATTATTAGACAGAGCTGTATTCATGTTATTAAAGAGATTTTTGCTTATTAATCTTTGAAGTGTTTAATGTGATTTCTCCCTGTGAAGACATATTAATTCTAGAACAGGTATATATATATATATATATATATATATATATATATATATATGTGTGTGTGTGTGTGTGTGTGTGTGTGTGTGTGTATATACGTATATATATACACATATATATATATATACATACATACATATATACATACATATATATCGAGCCTTTTTGAAAAATATTTCTGAGGCAAACTCTCTTATGTTGACTCAGGTAGCTTTGATTTCAATCTGTTACTCCCCAGTCAAATGACCTTTCTGTCCTTTTGATTAATCCAAATAATTCTTACATTAAATGACTATAGTACCATAGAGTTTCAAAAACTGTCCATTGCAGTAACCGAAAAAGATTTACATATGGAGCATGATTTCTGCTTTCAGACCAGAATAGGAGAAATAGTTTGTTGTGTACACTACAAGGAGAAACAGGGCAGGCAATCAGTTTCTGGAGTCACCACTACGAAAAACTACTGACTGTGGTGAGGGGTAGTGATTTTGTACTTTCCCAGCATGTATTAATTTGTGCCAGATAATTAAAACAGACCAGATTAGTGGGTGCATAATTAGGGAACCTAGTTTGAGCCAGTGAATATTGAATTTCCAAACAGAGCGCTTTCCTTTGCAATTACGTGCTATGGAATAATCCTGCACACTGTGAAAATGTGTTAATAAAAAGCTGATTGGCTGGAACAGGGCAGGAAATATGGACAGCAAAAGCAAACCAAGGCAAGCCAGATGCAGAGGAGGCAGGAGATGAATGTGCCATGCTAATAAAGGTGCTACCAAAAGGCAGAGCACAGACAAGAAATATATGCCAATTCAAAATGTGAGAGTTAGTTAGTAATAAGCCTAAGTTATCACCTGAACATTTACAATTAATATTGCCTCCACGTGGGTCACTTGGACGCTGCCGGGACAAGAAATCTATGCCTACAAATATGTGCAATTCTGGTTGATACACTTATGTCACCTCAGAGATTTCAGAAACAGGCCATGTGTGTTTCAGGTTACAGATCTCAGCAGCTAACATTACACTGCTGTGCAATAATTGTTCTGTGTGCCGTGCATATGTATTACTCTCATTGGTTAATAATGAAGCTGAATTGGCCTATAGCCAGGCAGAAAAAGGCTAGGTAGCAAAGCCAAACAGAGATACAGGGAGAGAGAAGGATGGAGTCAGGGGAGATGTGAGCCAGTTGCCAGAGGAAGAAAACCTGCTAGATAGAGAACAGGTAAGGCCATGAGCCACGTAGCAAAGTGTAGATTAATAGAAATGGGTTAATTGAGATGTAAGAGCTAGTTAGTAATAAGCCTGAACTATAGGACAAACATTTTGTAATTACTATAAGCTTTTGTGTGATTATTTGAGACTGGGTGGTCTGGACAAAGAAAAGCTCTGCCTCAGTATGCATCAAAAATGATCTTATTAAGGCCAGTCCTCTGCAAGGGAATGGCCTGTTCTTTTCCAAAATCAAGATACCTATGTTTTTCAATTATATTTATCTTTTGTAAAAGTCAACTATTAGTTTCACTTTTTAAAATTGATTTTCAGTAAATGCATCACTATTCTAATCTCTTGTTTCTTTTTATTCTCCAATGTTTTCTGGTCATTAAGAATTTCATTTGTTTTTGTTTTTGTTTTTCCAGGTACTGTAGATTACTAATTTCTGTTTAGAACAGTTTCTCCTGTAGATCAGGCTTGTCTTACACTATGTAATTGAGAATTGCTTTGAAAATATAATCCTATCTCTGCTTGGAAGACAATCCTGCAACTATTTCCAGGCTGGGCCCTGACTGGTCTGTGAGAAGGAAAAATAGACCAGTGAGTGTCTTCCTGCTTCTCTGGCTTTTATTGAAAACTTACAAATGAAGAGGGACCTGTGCAATAATTGAATTCACTGACTAACTGGAAAGCAGGTGCATTCACAGAACAGAAAGGGATGTGCAAGAAGGAAGGTGAAAGCTTTCCTGCTGTGACAGTAGTTGACATTAATAATGAATATGGAGATAAACAATCTTAGCTGATCAATACCTGTCTCAACTGGCCACAGAGTAGGAAATCAAGAATCTGGATAAACTTATCATAAAAACAAATTACTGTAGTTACTCTAGTTCAGTCAAAATAGAAGATCTGTGTAAAACGGTGTGGGCCTGCCCAACAGGACTGATATTTTTCCAGGTTTAAAATGTACAGCCTCACCAGGCGCTGGTGGTGCACACCTTTAACCCCAGCACTCAGGAGGCAGAGGCAGGCGAATCTCTGTGAGTTGGAGACCAGCCTGGTGTACAAGAGATAGTTCTAGGACAGCTTCCAAAGCCACAGAGAAACCCTGTCTAAAAAAAAAAAAAAAAAAAAAAAAAAAAAAAAAGTACAGCCTGAAAGAAAAGGCAGAGTACAAATCCCTAGTCTCCAGAGCACATAGCCATAAAGCCTGTTTCAACTTTTTGATTTTTTTGGGGGGGTATAATTACATTATTTCCACCATCTCTTTCCTTCTTCAAAGCCTGAGTGTGTCAGTCATTCCAAGTTGGGCCTTGACTACTCAGTGAGAAGGAAAGAGACAGGAGAGTGAGTGTCCTAATGTAACTCAACACTCATGGAGGAGTAACAATACAGAGGTGCTTGTGTAAGAATGGGAATTCATTATCCACACAGAACAGAGAGGGCAGAAAGGATTATATCAGACAAACCAGTTAATTACAGTAATCTGTTTATCAATACTATGTGATTTGTAAATGTCCCAAGTGGCAACATAGATCACGTTCCGTGGACAGAATACTGACCGGTTCCCATTGAAATGTTAGGTCTGCACCCAGGATATTCTATTCTCTTGACCAAGGGCCTTCTATTAACACACCTTCATTATCACTATTAACTTTCCTCTTCGTGAAGCCACCAGAGTCACTTATATCAGAGATCAGAGCTCCCAAAACACTTTTGCCATCTATGGACACTGGCAAGGATGAAACTGCTAAGAATCCCAGTGACACTTGACTTTTAGTTAAAACTGGATACTTTTCTTTGGGGGTGTCTTCACCCTAAACTACCTGGTCTGTTTCTACCTCTATTTCTTAGCACATCTCCCTCTAGAGAGGTAACTAACCCTAAATGCTGTTATGAGCTTGGATTAATGACTGATCTGGCTTTTTCCAGTTGAATTTGAGCTATCAGGTGTCAATTTTGGGACAAGACCTGGAAAAGGCTAAAATGTCCAAAGTCTATTAGATGTTTCAGTTTGACCTCTACAGCATCTGTGTGGCCCTGAATGTCCTGGAAATATGTATATAAAAAACAGACTGTCCGACCTCCTGAGTGCTTGTCGGGAGCATCTTTGTAGGGCTGCAATCGGAACCAGACGAGCAGCCCCAAGTCGGTACCTGAGTGGGGGAGTGTGGATGAGGGAAAGACTAGCTATAGACAGTAAAGAAAGACAGACAAAATAAAGGTCAGGAGGGCAGATCAGTCAGTACTGAAATGCCACAGAGTTTATTTTTCACCATTCTTACATACCATAACCAAAAAGGGGAACACAGTATCATGTATATGGAACAAACAGATTTTTCTTCCTCACTTATTCTAAGGGTTCAGTAACCACATCTTAGCCCTACTTCTTGTTTTCTAGCCTCGAGGTCAGGAGTAGCCACACTTCAAATTCAACTTCTTACCTAGCTATGAGAGTCAGGAGTAGCCAAACCTCAGATTCAGGTTGTTATTTAGACTAAGACGGCCAAAACATCCTTCTATAGCCACACCTTTAGGTCTTAGGACTTGCTGACAGCTTTGAACTCTGTCCTTGTGCTAAGATGGATTGCAGCCATCTTTATGGGCACCCACAAGTCCTAAGATTAAAGGCATGCATACTATGCCTAGCTCAATACCTAGTTCTTAAAAGAATATTCTAAAGGTAATAACTTAGTCTGCTTTTCCCTATTATCTTCAGAATCTTTTTTTTTTGGGGGGGGGTTGATTGTTCTAATTTAAGACAAATAGCACTTGAGAGAAAGATGCCATGACGAGGTTCAAGCAGAGGGGTTTTATTAGGGAAAGGGAATCGGGGAGACAGGAACAACATGAGGAAAGAGGAGGAGAAAGGGGGGAGACAGAGGGAAAGCGAAGATAGGAGGTGGGCAGGGCCCTTTTAAAAGGGAACACAGTGAATGTGCACAGATGGTGCTCAGCTATACTGAGGCCGTAAGCCTGTCAGAACCTCAAGGACAGGCCAGTACAGGTGTCTGAATATTAACAGTCGTTTTTAATTTTCCAACCTACATATTGATTAACGTAGGGTCATATGCACCTGTACATATACAGGTTAAGTTACACAACCCCAGATTGGGAAACAAACTTTTTCCAATGGGAGGATGCAAAATACATCTAGGTAGAGAGCAGTGTTGGGAAACGCTGTGTCAAGTCCATGAAAACCATTCCCTTCTTCCCATCAGTCACTTTGGAAGCTGACTGCCCATCTCTTCAGTGCTGGGTGCCTCTTCCCTCGTCTCACATAGGCCCTTGCTATGACTTCCCAGTGTCTCACTAGCCCACAAAGGGAATCCAAAGCTGACTACTCAGCTATATTCTTTAGAAACCTGGCTGATTATCTAGCCAACGAAGAGAAGACAAAACAGGCTCTCTCATTTTCAGGCAGTTAAGCAGCAACTAAAACATCTTAGAAGTCTAGGAAAAAATGTGTCAGAAAAATGAGTACAGTAATCATCAAGAGTGAGAATTTGAATTAAATCCAAACATTCCAACAATGGTTATAATAGACATTTATTTAAAGTGAGGCATCTACAGAGCAAATAACTCAAATTGTGAGAAATAACTTCTTAAAATATGCTGAGACCAGGCACATGCACAGATCTCAACCACAAGTTCATTTCTTCGCCCATTCTTCTTTCTCCTTCCTTTCCCGAATAACCTCTTTCAGATAGGGTTCAAGGTAAAATTTGTCCTAAAGAATGAAGAAAAATAATAGGACTCAAACCTCAAATTCATTACAATGAACTTTTTTGCTTGTAACATAAGAAAATATAATCTGAACTTCTACGAACTACATGCTTTTTTAAATATGAAAAGCTCACAAAGATCATGCAGTGAGGAAGTCAGGAGGAGAACCAGGGAAAAATGACCCATAGGCCTACCAGGTTTCAATGACAATGCCCATGCTAGGAACTAGAAGATCACTCAGAGGTCTTCATATAACTAAAATCTTTTCATGAGAGCAGGGACTGAAGTAGAGGGGAAAAAGAGGCAAAAAACCTGGACTCTAGCCCAGGCCTTCCATACTAAAGACTAGCGTAGTAATTTCAGAAGTCACATCAGCTCTAAGTCTCACCATGTTGTTCTTAAAATCGAGTTTTCCGCTAACCTCACTAAGCACGACCTGGAGAACTCTATAGCACTGCATACACCAGTGTGTTTCTCTTGTTTCTGATACTGAATGCCTAGTGACCAACAAACACTGTTAGACAAAGCAAACATGTTGTATGTACCTCCTCATATTTTGTCCACTGCTCCTTAGGCAAGATCTGATGCCTCATGCTCAGGTCCAGGGCTCTCTTAATTCGAAACATTCTGTCATTATAAAGATTCTCGGGAAGCCTTCTTATGGCTTCTTTGACATCTTCAGTCTCATATATTGTATCATCTCTCATTAAACCTGTGATAGGAGTATAAAAACTAGATTAGACAGCTATCAAGAAGAAGTGTTTTTAAGACAGGGTCTCACTAAGTAGCTCTGGCTAGCTGTGAACTCAGACAATATGTTTCTTCCCACCCAGCCTCAGACTCACAATTGCTTGAAATGACCATCTTCTTGCCTCTGCTTCCCAGCTGTTAAAACTAGTTACAATTCACACCTGGTAGGAGCACCACATGCACACACACGTACCTCCACAAGCAGCACGTGGAGGTCAAAGGTAAAAAGTGTCAGTTCATGCCTCTTCCCATTATTTGAGATAGTCTTTGTGCTACATTTAAGAGGCAGCCCACCAGCTTCTAGAGATTCTTGTCTCTGCATCCCATCTTCCCAGAGTGGAACACTGGGATTACAGCTGCTTGTGCTACTGTTTCAGCTTTTATGTGGGCTCTGAACTCTGGTCATCAGGCATGTGTGGCTCACTGAGCCATCTATTCCATTAAGGATTTTTCTTTTCTTTCTTTCTTTCTTTTTTTTTTAAAGATTTATTTATTGTGTTTACAATGCTCTGCTTACATGTCTGCTTCAACACCAGAAGAGGGCACCAGACCCGATTACAGATGGCTGTGAGCCACCATGTGGTTGCTGGGAATTGAACTCAGGACCTTTGGAAGAGTAATCAGTGCTCTTAATCTCTGAGCCATCTCTCCAGCCCCCAGGATTTTTCTTTTCTAATGAACAGCATATCTTTATGATTTAAAACTCAAAGTTTGACTGAAAGAAGCACCAAATCATTATGTAAGATGGAAATCAAAACCAATTCAGACCTGAGTTATTTCTTGGAGGAATGTGTGGGTCTTTTAAACCACGATCATAAAATTTCTATTTCATATGAACCAGTTCAGGAAATATTTCCAATGTGTATCTTGCCACTGAAACCATGAATAGACCACATCTCTTATTCTAATCTGAGATGAAGGAAGCTATGAAATAACTAAGACTAGTGAGATGGCTAGGCACGTGAAGGTACTTACTGCACAAGCCTAATAACCCAAGTTTGATTCCTATACCCCATGGAAGAAGAACCGACCCCTAGAAGCCCTCCCCCGAACTCCACAAGCACCCCCTGGTACGATAAATGCTTTTTTATTTTTTCGAGACAGGGTTTCCCTGTGCAGCTTTGAAGACTGTCCTAGAACTAGCTCTTGTAGACCAGGCTGCTCTCAAATTCACAGAGATCCTCCTGCCTCTGCCTCCTGAGTGTTGGGGTTAAAGGCGGGTGCCACCACCACCCGGCTGATAAATTCTTTTTTAAAATCATAAAGAACTTAAAATTGTACTAAGGAGTGCCACGATCTGCCGATGCTTCCATTCAGCTTCTAGACCACAAGTGAAGATCACAGCAAATCAGATGGCTCTAAGGAAGCTCACCAATCATATAAGGATACGAATTGAAGCCTTCTCTTCAAAACATCAAAAACTCAAAATAGTTTAATTTTAAATTTGATACACACAAAAGTAAAACATCCTTTTGGAACTGTAAGAGTTCTTAAAAAGTACCACGTTCAGGAAAAACAAGAGAACAGATACTCACCCAGCTTGTTGAATCCTGCAGCATTATAATACCATTTTCGAAATCCTTCCAGCCACTTGCTTGACGCTGCAACTGTAAGTACCACACTGTTAACTGCTACACTTACAGATGAGTGCATCAATAGCCAAAGGACTCTTATACTCCTACAAACCTAAGAATGATTAGCCCTTTGTATACGATGTAGATAATCATTTCCCTATGACAACACGGGAAAAAAAAACGTGAGTTCAAAACTAAAGGTGACTGATACCCACAGGTATACTTCCTGCCACTTTGCGTTCTCAGAGCCCAGTGCTCTCTGCCCTGCCATCACCTGCTACTATCAGAACTGAAAGGACAAGGGGCAGGAAAGAGATCTGGAGCATTTCTATCATTTGTAGTGGAAATAAAATAGGGGCTGGAAATGTAGCTCAAGCCTAGCATGCAAAATACCCCATGCAAAAACAAATCATAACCCTTGGGGAAACGAGGCTGAACCCAACGAATAAGTAGCCTAAAAGGGGTCCAGGGAGCAGGAAAGTGCCTGACATTGACAGATATGGCAAAGGGGGCAACACAAGCCTACCTTTCTTTTTAAAATGTAAGGGCTGGGAGAGGGGCCAGTGTGGGCCAGAGGGCAACATTAGGTCCTAGTTACCCTTTTTCATTTTTGAGATGGCATCTTTCATTGGTTTGGAACTTGCCAAGTACACTTGCCCACCTGAGCCCCAGAGACCCACCTGTCCCCACCTCTCCAGCACTAAGATTAAAAGCATGGCTAGGGCACAGGCTAAGGCAGGCCTCACCATGGAAGTGGCTGGCCTGGAACCACCACCACCACCACCACCACCACCACCACCACCAAACCAACAAATAAAATGGGTTCTGGAGAATGGATTCAGGCCCGTGCTTGCATTACAAGGCAAGCACTTTATCAACTGAGCTCTCTTCTCACACCCTAAACTTTCTTTTAAAATTCTGTCTAGGGCTTGCTTCTTACCAAGTAAGAAAAGTCCTCATTTAGCGTCTTTTGACTTCCGACTCCTTAGTTTAGATTACTACATGGCTTCCTCCAAAAGTTAAAAGGGGAAAGAAAAACAGTTAAGGGCTAATCACTTTGTTGGTACAGTGCAATGCACCACAAAGCCCCCGAGTCCCAGTTCCAGCATAGATCGGATGTGGTGGTACATTCCAATTCCAGCACTCAGGGAAGCAAAAGGATCGGAAGTTCAAGGTCACCCTTCAGTACACAGTGAATTCAAAGCTGGCTTGGGCTACATGATACCCGGACTCAGAAAAAAAATATAAAATTTAAAGAGTAAAAACCAAACCCAAAGACAAATCATAGGAGCTGGACTGTAGACATACCAGTAGTTATGATAGCGATTAATAGTCATTTAACACACAGAATGTGCAAGGCACTACTCTGCACACTCTTTCCACATTAGCCAGGTTAAAAGCCTGTTGCAAAAGAAGAAAGCAGGCTCATGGAAAGGAGCCAATCAGAACGCTGTTGAAATCGAGTCTCTAAGGTAACAGACACTTAAATTTAGTAAGGCTCCTAAAAGTTTTGCCATGTAGAGGTGACCTTCACAATTTCTAGATACTGAGAACGGTGAAGGGTACTAGCATTGTTTTTTAAAAGCTATTCCAATTTAAACCGGCAGGGGGCAGAGATTTGCTTAAAAAAAAAAAAAAAAAACCACATAACAGGGGGTGAGGGATACTTACACCTGAAGTGCACGATTTAAATATTCTGTATTTTACCCCACAGTAAACTTGTCCTAGTAAACAAAAGTCCTTGCAGATCTGCAGCTGCAGCTCACGGTCCACACGGGCCTCACTACAAACCGACTCATCTCCTCCGCATCTGATTCTGACAGATGCTCGGGGGGCGGAAGGCGGGCTCGGAACGCCACTGTTTGCGATCCCCGCCTGCAGCCGGACAGGGAAGCAGCGGCGGCTGGAGCAGGGGGCAGCGTCGGGCTCCACACGCGCCCGCGGCTCACTGCGGCGCGGCCGGCCGGCTGGCCCAGGCCGAGGGGAGGAGGCCGCAGCCGCAGCCCAGCCACGGCGGACGCCGCCCGGCAGAGGTCCCCGTCCCGACCCTCGGGCGCCACGGCCCCCACGCTCACACAGAGCAGAAGGGGAGCGAGTTGCTGGGAAATAAAGCCGCCCCGCGAACTCCACCGAGAAACACCCGTCAGTCACTTACCAGCAGGCCTGCCCGCCATTCTGTCCTGAGTGGCGCGCTGCCTCCTGGGTAAGTCCTAGAGGACGCGCGGGGCTCACGCGCAGGCGCCCTGCGGACCTTGGGGGGCAGGAGGAGGGGGGCAGGAAGAGCGCTCACGCGCAGGCGCAGTCCTACTGTTTAGTCTGTGTCTTACTGGGTTGATGGTTTTGCGAGCAACGTTTTTTTTTTTTTTTCCCCGTGACACAAAAGGAAAAATAGCGAGCAAGAAATTAGGAGACGGTGTACTTCAAGGTTCTGTTGCAGGAAGGTACGTTTAACGTACTAACGGAGCCATTGTTTAGAGACAGGTAATGTGGTAGAAGATTCTCAGGCATACAGGTCCTCAGCACAAGAGGAGGGCATTCTACCGAATGCCCTTATATAGTGGTGCGGTGTTTTAAAACAATCTACTTACATTTCCTGTATTCTTTAAACCACATCTAGATTACCTCTAATACAGGATATAAAATGTTTCACTGCATTATTTAGAATAACACAGGAAAAATGCACAATACAGATAATACCTCTCACCAATCTGTGGTAGATTGAAATCCATAGATGTGGAACCTTCAGGTAAAGCAAGGTGGATTTTTTTTTTTTTTTTTTTTTAACTAGAATTGAGAAATCCAGATTCAAAATCAGGCTTCCTTATTTCTAGGTTTATATATGCAGCACAACTAATGTCAGAAGACAAAACCTCTAGGCTTCACTTTCAACCCCCAAGCATTCATCATCTAACCATTTTAATAGAAAGTTAGGTTGATAAACTTTAAAAAATGTTAACTTTAACATTTACCCCGCTGTCTTTTAGTATTAAGTTGAAACCTGGGATAGCATAGAACTGTAGCATTATGAATTCAAAATGTTATTTAATGGCATTAGTCACAAGTTCTAAAGTTCTGCTACCTTATCTCGCTCAGTTCTAAGAGTGTATGCAATGGTCAACATGAAGTCTGAAAGATAGGAATAAACAAATACATCTGCTTTGCAAAAGATGTTCACTTAACTCTTCATTCCGGCAAGTTTCAGCATCAGAGTGAAAGTGTAGAGTGGAAGATTACATGTCAAGGCAGTATCAGATGCCCAATATATATATCCAAAAAAAAAAAAAAAAAAAAAAAAAAAAAAAAACTCCAAAACCCAGCTTTATAGGCAGGAAGCTGAGTAAGGATTAGTGTTTGTTCATGCTTGTTAATGTTGGTTTAAAATGTCTTTAGGGGATTGGAGAAATGGTTCAGTGGATACAAACACTTGCTCTTTCAGAGAACCTGGTTCAGTTTCCAGCTCATCACCACCTGCAACTCTTAGCTCTAGATCTGATGCTCTCTTCTGTAGGTACTCACATGCACGTGTGAACATATATTCATACACATATACATGCAAATTATTACAGTAAACCTTAATGTTTTAAAAACTTTTATTTCTTTCCTTCTGGCATAGATGCATTGACACTTTAAATTTTAGACACCAATGCGATACTTTGGCACTGCCCCCGCAAACAAGGTTTAAAGAGTAATCTTCAACATTTCTTTCCCCTTTAGGAGATGGGTGACACTACAGTCATAACGGAAGCATCCGGGGTGCATCAGTCTGTTCCCTTAAACCACTTGCAGTCACAGGACAGACATGCTCAAGAAACAGACATACGAGGTTTGAAGTTGCTTAAAATTTTAGGATTGTTCAGCACAGCTAACCTATTCTTTGTTTACTTCTGTGTGTTTGCGTGTCAACATGTGTGTATATATATGTGTACTTGTATGTGTGTAGGTGTGTGCATGCCAGAGGTCTAAGATGAATGTCTTTCTCAACCACTGTTCTCCTTAGCTTTTGAGATAGGATATCTCACTGAATTTGGAGCTCACCAATCCAGACAAGACTGGTTGGTCAGCAAGCGCCAAGGGATTACATGAGCATTGTAGCCCTCAGCTATTACTAGGGTTCTGGGATCAAACTAAGGTCCTGTATGTGAACAGCACTTGGCTGACTAAGCCATTGCCTTAGTCCCGAGTTACCCTATTCTGCGGCATTTATTTTTAAAAATACACTGATTTATTCATGTATACATTTACTTTACAAGAATACATTTAAACTTTCATCAACAACTAAAGCGTCTTTAAGAATTTCTCAAAATCATTTACTGAAGTTTTGGCAATCTCTTTGCAGAATACTTCATCAGGAATAGATACGAACTTGTCCAAAGAGACATAATTAGGTTTTGCTGGATCGTACTGCGCTTTTCCCAAGTAGGCAAGAAATAAATGTCTTTCTTTAATTTTAAATACTCTTGTATTAAATACCTGGAAAAGAAAGGAATTTACAATAAAAAGCTGAAATACTAACAAAATCACTTGGTTATTATTTTAATAAGTTAGTGACATTGGCTGTATGTTCAATAAATATGATTACTGCTACAGGACTTAAATTCTATAGTTTCTGTTGAGAAACTATAGTTAAACAGACTGAGGGGGTAGATCAATAGAAAGATAAATGTCTAGGATAAGAGAGAATCTGAGTTTGAGTCCCAGCACACATGTAAGTATTATTAGATTAGGAATTATGAGTTGAACATAGTGGGTACCACCTGCAATTACAGCATTTGGTAAGCTGAAGCAAGAGTAGTAAGTTTAGAGCCAGCCTAGGTCACATAGTGAGTTCCAAAGTAAGCCTGAGCTATTGGGCAGAAATCCTAGGCTGTAGGGCAAAAGCCCATCTTCAAGAAAAATGAAACCAGGTGTTGGTGGTGCACGCCTTTAGTCCCAGCACTTGGGAAGCAGAAGCAGGCAGATCTCTGTGAGTTTGAGGCCAGTCTGGTCTACAGAGCTAGTTTCAGGACAGGCTCCAAAACAATACAAAGAAACCCTGTTTTGAACCCCCCCCCCAAAGAAAGAAAGGAAGAAAGGAAGGAAGGAAGAAAATGATTATTTAAGAGGGACTAAAAACCAACACAGAATGATAACGAAAGAAAGCCTTTGCTGGGCAATGGTTGTGTGCACACCTTTAATCCCAGCACTTGGGAGGCAGAGGCAAGAAGATCTCTGTGAGTTTGAGGCCAACCTGGTCTACAGAGCTAGTTTCAGGACAGTCAGGGAGGGCTACACAGGGAAACCCTGTGTGTGTGTGTGTTTCGTGGAAGACAGCCAACATGATGTGTGTGTGTGTGTGTGTGTGTGTGTGTGTGTGTTTCGTGGAAGACAACCAACATGATGACTCCAGACCCAGGAGAGCATTGGGAGACCAAATCCTTAGGCCTCACCCCAAAACCACTTCTTCTGAAACTTGGGAATGAGGCACAGAAATCTGTTTTAACAAGCTTTTTAGATTCTAGATTACCTGCTAAGTTTGAGAACCAGCATTAGAGACCAAGATCTGTGTTAGCAAAAAGGAATTAATCATCTATGTAGTGTTGAAGTGTCTCTGATTTGATCTTTAAGTTCTGTTACCCAACAAGAATCAAAGTGAAATGAGGCTGCCCTCTTGGGGGTGAAGAGGGAAAGCATGCCTTTTCCTGTTAAGATCCCTGGGACTAAGGAAAGCACAGTGATTTGACACAGGAATCCTGATATGGCTAAGTACCTAGAGCCTCCTGTTGCAGAGTTGAAAGGAGGCCCAGAGAAGGGACCATACTGCACCGACACTCCTGAAGGGGTGGTCTCAAGCACTTGGCTGTATTACAGACACTGTGGGACACTCCACAGGGAGAATACTTCGAGGTTTCCTTCCCAGTGTACAAAGTGCTAACTACACAAAGGCACCAAGTTGGGGGGGGGGTAACCTGTCTTAACTTAACTTGCTTTGAGAACAGTGACCAAAGAAAGTACATGCTACTAACTTGGTGTGACATCGGTATGCTTCTGAAACAAAACAAACCCTTGTCTTTGCATTAATGGTCATGAGGTCCACAGAAAAACACGAGATGGAATAACATGTAGAGAAAGGAGACCTGTATGGACTGGCACAGGCCATCAGTGCTGACTTCCAGACAAAATGCAGGACTAGACAGCCCTGTGTGGTGTTACAGAGAAGAGTCAGAAGAGAAAAAACAGATTGACTGCAAAGACACGGGGAGGAAAACTGTTAGAAATGGACAACTATCAAGACAGGCAGCCTTGTACCCTCAAGACACACCTGCAGCCTCCACAATCATCAAACCCACTGCGGGGTTGGTGAGTCAGGGGTGGACAGGAATCTCACTGTGTCCCCTTTCATCTTTTGTCAAATTGGGCTATAATGAGTCCAGACACTCAAAGCAGTAAGAACTCTATAGGTATTATCATTTCAATGATTTTCTCTCTCCTCTATACTGAATTAACTGCCCATGAGCCCTCAACTACTGTGTAAGCTTATTTTAAACCTTTGCCTCTCACACTAGATTACAAGCCACATGTGACTGAGTTTAGTGATCTTAGTGCTCACACACATTCTAACCCAGGCCAGATGGTCCATTCTATAACCAATGACTGGACCCCACTTGTTGCGGGATAATCTTTTAGTACACTGTAAAGATGTGTCTCTGCCTAAGATGCCTTTTGATTGGTTTAATAAAGAGATGAATGGACAATGGGTAGGCAGGAGAATAGGCGTGACTTCCGGGGAGAGAGAGGAACTGGGGAAGAGAAACAGGGAGGAGACCCCAGCAATACGCAGAGCAGGTTGGGCATACAAAATGGGAGAGAGGTAAAAGCCATGTGGCAGGACGTAGATTAATAAAAACTTTGATTCTTTACCTGCCTAAAACACCCGATGGTCTAATAAAGAGCTGAGTGGCCAAAAGTGAGGCAGGAGCACGATTAGGTGGGGCTGGCAGGCAGAGTAAATAGAAGGAGAAATCTGGGAGAAAAGGCAGGAGCAACATAGAACAAGAGGAGGATGACGGGGCAGCCACCCAGCCACCCACAGAGCAAGAGGAGGATGCGGGGCAGCCACCCAGCCACCCACAGAGCAAGAGTGAAAAGAAGATATGCAGAAGGAAGGAAAGGAAGCATCTCAGAGGCAAAAGGTAGTTGGGATAATTTAGGAAAAGCTGGCAAGAAACAAGCCAAGTTAAGGTCAGGTATTCCTAAGTAAGAATAAGCCTCTGAGTGGATTTATTTGGGAGCTGAGTGGCGGGACCCCAAAGGAGCAAAGAGTAAAAAACACTCAAACATGAGCTAGTTAGGAACAAGCCTCAGCTAAAGGGCAAGCTTTCATAATTAATACAAAGTCTCTGTGCCATTATTGGGGAGCTGGTGGTTCCAAGAAAAGTCCAACAGAAAACGTAATTACACCCACAGGGTAGGACAAGGTGAGATTTCTCATATAACCCACTTTCAAACATCACTCTATGTGAAGGAAGTGCGTGATGCATTCCAGGTCTAAGAGTTAATTAAGGTCATAGCTCTTTTCACATATCTATACCATGAACAAAGGAAACTATTTTTAAATTTCATGGAGAAAACCCCAAGAGACCATGTTTGAGTTTTTACCCGATTCCAACAGGAATAGGTAGGAGTAGGTAAAAGCTACAGCGGCAGAGACAAATCCTCAGGAGCCCTGCAGCTGTGAACTCCCTACAGACACAGCACGATGCCTGAAAGCCTGAGTGCAGGGAGGGCAGCTGTCTGTTAGAGTTGGGAGATGTGTTACCTGTGGGAATCTGACAATGATGTGGTGGGGGATATTCATCACGTTGTGTATATAATCAAAAGTCTCCGTAAGTTTCCTTTTGTTTGCAGTTAGCATCTTTGGGATTCTGGTGACCATATGTTGAATTTCATTTTTCTTAAAACCAAGTTCAAGGCGATAAACCTAGAAGAAAGTAAATTCTTGGGAGTCATCAGTAGGAATGGTCTTTTGGTACTATGCTGGAGGGAAAACTAGTTCTTTTTCATTTTAAATTAATGACCTTTTTAAAATTTGGGGACATTTATATCAGTGCCCCTCAACTCACTGGTTGGGGGTCACCCAAATTTCAAAGCCCTCACCCAAGTAAGTGCTTCTTTACATTGGTGGCCATGAGGTCCACAGAAAAAGAAACAGGAAATGGAATAACACATAGAGAAAGGAGGTCTGTATGGACTGGCACAGGCCATCAGTGCTGACTTCCAGACAAAATGCAGGACTAGACAGCCCTAGAGAAGAGTCAGAAGAGAAAAAACAGACTTGACTGCAAAGACTTGGGAGGAAAACTGTTGGAAATGGAGAACTATCAAGACAGGCAGCCTCGTACCCTCAAGACACACCTGCAGCCTCCACAATCTTCAAACCCACTGCGGGGTTGGTGAGTCAGTGATTTCTGGACCTGGGGTGGACAGCAATCTCACTGTGTCCACTTACACTCTGGTGTGCTGAGACTCTGTGCCATCTTGAGAGATAACATTGTTTGGAACTGGGATATGCCGGGGGCTTGGATTTGGGGAACAATGTGACAGAGAGCTGGAATCCAATCTGCAATAGTCTCAGGATGAGAGACAGCCTGGGGAGGCAGCTGTGGAGGCAGGAGGCCTACATGGTGAATTACATAAGGAAAGGCAACCACCCCTGCCCTTGGTTGCCAGGAGCACGTCAGCTCTGGAGGACCCATCTCCCACCCACCGCTAGGAAGCCTGAAAATTGTACCTGGCATGTTCTGTGACAGAAGTGGAGCTGAAAAGTGCCACAGGTGCCAAGCACAACAATGTCGTGGCTTCTACTCTCTTCCCAGAAGTTCCTTTGAGTTGGCCTCTGTACTGGATGATGTGGGTCAACTTGACACGAGCTAGAGTCATCTTTTTTACTCAGTTGAGGAAAGGCTTCAGTGAGATCTAGCTCTAAGGCATTTTCTCATTTAGTGATCTGTTGTGGAACATTACTTTAACTATGTAAAGGTGTGTCACATTTGTTTATGAGGCATTTGTTTAATATGTAAAGATGTGTTGCTTTGTCTGCCCAAGGAATCAGACTGGTCAAATAAAAAATCCGATTGGCCAATAGCTAGGCAGTAGAGCGACAGGTGGGGCTGGTGGGCAGAGAGAATAAACAGGAGGAGGAATCTAGAAGGAGAGAGAACAAGGGAGACGCCTGGGGCTAGCCAGGCAGCTTCCAGACAGACAGACATGGAAGAAGCAGGAAAAATAGGACACACAGAATGAAAGAAAGGTAAAAAGCCCCAAGGCAAAACGTAGATGAGGAGAAGCAGGTTAAAATAAGTTATAAGAGCTGGTGGGATAAGCATAAGACCACGCACTCATAGCTAATAATATGTCTCTGTGTCATGATACGGGAACTAGTTGGTGGCTCCAAAGAAAGTCTGCTACAGTGATCACTGGGGAGGCCCCAGCCCACGGTGGGCGGGCGGGGCCATCCCTGCGCTGCTGGTCCTGGGTTCCATAAGAAGGTGGCTGAGGAAGCCATGGGGATCAAGCCAGTAAGCAGCTCCCCTGCACGGCCTCTGTGTCAGCTGCTGCCTCCAGGATCCTATCCTGGTTAAGGTCCTATCCTGACTTCCTTCAGTGTCGAACAGCAATGCTGAAGCGTCAGTCTAATAAACCCCTTTCTCCCCAATTGGCTTTTTGGTTATGGTGTTTTGTCACAGCAATAGAAACCCTAAGACAGCCTCCAACATCCTCAAATCATAAATTCTCATGACAGTCAAAAGTGGTTTCACAAAATGGGAAAAAGGCCAGGAAGCACAGACATTGCCTGTCACACAAGGTAACAGAAAGCAGTTTTCAGGTCCCAGCTACACCTCAATGCTTCAGAGTCATGGGTCCTAATGTCTGCAGGAAGTGACATAGGGAGACTGGGTAGCATGTATGTGCAAGACCACTTGCCAAAATAAACCGTCATTTCTGTCCTTTAGAAACAACTAATGTTAAAATGTGTTTTCTTTTGTTTTGTTTTGCATGAATGGTAACAGCAATATTTAGTCTCTTAAGAAAACTTAAGAATGTAAAGAAATCAGTTTCTCATAGCTTGAAGATATGTTACCTTCATATTTTCTTTCACAGGCTCCAGACTTCCTGTTAGTAGCCTTGGAAGGCGAACAACAAGATCTCTAGTCTACAGTTAAAACACAAGAATTGTCATCACTATACATGCACATTTAACTAGTTTGGAAAACTAAGGAATTACAAGGAATGCCAAGCTAAAATTCAAAATATAACCCAATCAAAGACATGACAGAAAGCTTGAAAGTATGTATCAACTTAACATTATTTAATGAGAAATCCAACATGGAAACATTTTAAGGAAGCTATTTGAGGGTATACTAGAAAGGGATGGAGCCTCCTTTTTAATCTATCAGGCTAACTCATTTTGTACTCAAGGTATCATGCATCTATAGGACCTTAGAAGCATCATGTTTAAAGGTTACTGAAAGAGGGAATACATTTTCTTACGTTTTCTTTCCTTTCTTTTTCCTTACCTTCTTCACACTCAGTTGGAGTTCTTTCTGAAAGAACCCCAGTCTGTTATCCAGTCTTTCCACGGAGAGGCTCAACAGAAATGGTGCCTTTCTCACCATCTGGGCAATAGCCGTCTTACTGAAATTGTTTGACTGTAGATAAGCTACTCTGGAGAAATAATAAAAAACAAAACATATGCATAGTAAACAATACCCAGAGAAGGGACATCAGAAGTTTTTTTGAGGCTTTGAGTACATACAGGAGTACTGTTATTTACATAATTTCCACCCCCATTCCTCCTATGCTCTGCCCCATCTCTTTTTCAATTATTACTTATATATATATATTTTTTCACACATTTATGTAAAGTAACAATAAAAAAAGGATCCTATAACTTCCCCATAAAAAAAGATCAATAAAAAAAGCACTCTGTAAGCTGGGTAGTGGTCTTCACTCCTTTATCCCAGTAGAGGCAGGCAGATCTCTGAATCTGAGGTTAGCCTGGTCTACCGAGCAAGTTCCGGCACAGCCAGAGCTACACAGAGAAACTCTGACTCAAAAATGTGCCCCTCCTCCAAAATCTCTGTAATAGCCCAAATATGGACACATTTTCAGGAGAAACACCTGACAACTTTTTTTTTTTTTTAAATATTGGATTCCATTTACTTTTATTTAACAAACTAATTCTAATACAGTTTGGGAAGATCTTAAACAAATCATTAGCATATGTGTACCATGGGGGGCAGCCACATGCTTTGGTGCAAAGTGGAGGTCAGAGGGAGTCTTGGGGGTCAGCCCTAGCCTTCCACCTTGTTTTGAGACAGGGCCTTCCCTGTGTCCCCGGCTACAATTAAGCCAGGTTAGCTACGGTCTGATCTCCACAATATTCTACTCTCTGCCTCCCATCGCCAAAGCCTACTAAGGTTACAGATATGTGGCATAGCATATGTGGGTTCTGGGGTTCCATACTCTAGTCTTGACACTTGGATGGCAAGCACCTTGTCCACCAAGCCATCTATTTCCAACCAAAATTTTTAATTTTGAGACAGGGTCTTATATACCTAGCCCAGGCTGGCCTTGACCTTTTCATTTTCTTGGCTTAGTTTCCCAAGTGCCGGGATTACAAGCACGTAGAGCACCTGCCTCAGCCTCCTGTGTGCTGGGATTAAAGGTTGTACGCTACCACCCAGCTCTGGGTGGTACTCTTAATGTCTAACTCATCAACATCTTACAGTAAATGTTCTCACAGATTAATAACTCTGATAAATGAAGTGCAAAGATGTTTATAAATGTTCTATTTAAAGAAAGGGTTGTCAAGCAACATTGGTTGGCAACTGGAAAGAAAACACCTGGAATCAATTAAACCCAAGTTGCTGGGTACACCTGTGAGGGATTTTCTCAATCAGAGTATTTGAGGAGGAAGACCCACCTTAAATCTGGGCCACACCTTCTGGCGGCAGCCCACATAAAAAGACCTGGAAGAAGGAAGCTTTTGATTTTTATCTGTTGCCCTCACTCTAGCCGATAAGAAGTTCTTTTATTTCCGGTTGCTTTGGTATTCCCTTGATGGTATCAGTACCAAATTCTTTGGGATTCTAACATATACTGAAGACACCCTACATGCCAGGATTTCTTTGGGATTCAGCAGCTGTCTAGGTCTGCTGAGACTTCCAACTTCATGGACTGAACAACTAGAGCATTCTTGGCCTCTTGATCATGAGACAGCCATTGTTGGACTAGCTGAACCACAGCTTGTAGTCCATTCTAATAAATATGTATTAAAAGACTACCAGTTTTCTTATTTGGAGAACCATGACCATGACAGGGAATAACCTTTCAATTTATGGGAAAGTATATTATAAACAATTTGCTCAAAGAATGCTAAATGTCTGCCAGATAGGAGGGTTATTAGTTCAAGGCCAGTCAGGGCTACATAGTGAGACCATGTACAGGAAAAAGTAAAGAAAAAAAAAAACAGTAACAACAGTAACAATCTGCCCAACTTGTAAGTGTACTCTTAGATGATCCCATTATTTGTCAATAGAGACTTTAGAGAGAAATTTCCAGGTTCTGAAGAGAAATATTTCAATACTAACTCATCAGTATGCTGCAAAGAGAAATAATTAACAGTTGACAAAACAACTATTTTAAATACTCTATTTAGATTGAAGTCCATAACCAAAAGAACCATTCATAGTCATTCAGTAGATCCTTGCTAGGAGACTAGAAAATTTCTCACACATGCATAAGTAAGTCTTCCATAAGCACTTCCTAGGTTATGTGAGAATCATTTCAAACTTTACCTTATCTTAAGATTTTCAAGGTCTTCAGAGAAAATAGTATGATTTTTTGTCAGGAATGGTCCCAGGTGGTTATCTTCTAAACCCAAATCTTTAAGAAACAGGAGTATTTGCTTAATGTCTTTTTCAAAATCCAGCCTTAGGAGGAGGTTGGCTGAATCTACATGTCTTTCTATCTTAGACAAATCCACTCCTGTAACAAATGAAAAGGATTGGTTTGAGGACAATTTCTTATTCAGCTATTAATTTCATACAGGAAAAATTACTGATGAATAATCTAAGTGAGAAATGACAGACAGATGGAAACTTTTAAAATGAAGCTGGTTGCAGAAATAAATCAAAATCAATCATAGTGTTTATGTCAATGGTCAATGTAGAAAGGAAAACAAAACATTTGTGCTTACATTTTCCCCAAAGAGAAAAGTCACTAAATCACACTGACAGCTACTTGGGAGGCTAAGTCAGGAGGATCCTAAGTTTGAAGCCTGCTTGGGTTATACAGTGAGTTCATGGTCAATGTGAAAACTTGAAAAAACTATTTTAAAACACAAAAATAAAATAAAATTTAAAAAGGCTAGAGAGGTAGTTCAGTGGTTCAGTGCTTACTTAGTATAGACCAGGAGTTCAATCCTCAGTACAACGATAGAAAACACATTTGTTAGAAGCACCTTTATATTAGTCTTACTTATAAAGCAACAAAATAACATTTCCCCCTAATAGTGTCTATAATCAAAAATGTCATCATATTCACTCTCCAATTTTAGAAACAAATGTAATACGAATCTAAATGTTTTGATATGACAAATGTGTGCACACCTACCTACACCACACATGAAACAGCAACCAGAAACATCCAGAATGAACTATTTTACCACACACAGTGACAGTATTTTAATTCAACTAGAAAAATAATTAAAGTACAATGGAATCACTAGTTACACTGAAATGTTTCTGTGTTATATTTCCAGATTGATTAATAATCTAAATATATATTAGTTCATGTTGTACAAAGAAAACAAAGAATATAAGCGGATATTAATCATGGAATATAAAAAGCCCATGGCTAGTTTTCCACTTACTTTGTAAGAGAAAAGTTTGGAAAATTACTCAACAAACTGGTAATAGTGGTTATACTTGGGTATCTCTTGGAATAGCCGAACTTCTATCAACTACATGTAATTCTTTTGTAACTTAAAAATTACACAAAATCAAGTGTAATCAATGAATGAAAAAAAAAAAAAAATGAGATGGAAGCCAGTTTCAAAAGTCTGTGATAAATGGGGAAACATAGCTTTAAAGATAACCTAAAAGACTCGGACTCCAAGTGAGTTTACACATGTTGGAGGACCTTGATCTGTCACACCCTAGCTGTGAAGAAATGAAAAGCCACTTTTTAGCAGCAGTGGCAGAGTGGAATCCCATTAGGAGAGCTGATGTCACTCAGCTCACTCAGAATTCTACTAAAACAAAAAACCAGACACTGACTGTCCACTGTGGACCAGACATTTCTATTAGAGTATATTCTCTAATAGATACTGACACTGTTACATATATTTACTCATCAGTCAGATCCGGAAATCACTAAATGTTATCCTACAGAGCTCAAATAAATAGAAATGCAAGAGAGTGGTATGGGCAGAGCTAAGTGGACACACAAAGGCCGTCTAGCAGCAGAGGTAAGGAGACCAAGCCTTTTCTAGAGCCAGAGGGAACTGTGAGCTGTTAGGGAAGCGCTGGTAACAGGAGCTGTTGCCATGGAACGAGCAGTTAAAGGACCAGAAGAGTGAGAACGAGGAAAACGACCGGACCTGGCCCTCCTGGCCTTTATGCTGCTCTGGCAGAAACTGCCTAGAAGCCCCTGAGCACAGGACTGGCCCCCCTGGGATGTAGAACAAGCAGAGAAAGGAGGAAAAGAAGCAGAAGACGACCACGGCTTTATTACTAAAAACACAGAGAGACAACACGGGACCCTCTGAGTTACTGCCATTTACAGTTCTAAGACATGCCATTGATTAGCACATACAAAAAGAATGGCTGGCTCATATCAGAAAGCTCTGAGGATACTGTAAATTATTGACAGGTCTGGACCATGTTGCTCCCTCATCACCCTGAGTGCCTGCTGTAGGCTAGGGAAGCTCTTCTGGAAGGAAAAGTAACTTACTCTTCTGCTCGTAGCAGGTATCAGATGCCATCTCTCACCTCTGAACTTACTATAGAACATCTTTTAAAGCTGTGGACAATCTGAGGTTCAATAGATGCTTTAGGTATTTAATGATTAAATGAAGCCAATTAGCATCACCACATGTATTTTTTTGTGGGTACTTAAAACTTACTTAGTACATCACAGATTTCCAGAACTAAGTATGGAAACTTTGTACCCTTCCACCATCTTTCCATGGTCACCTCCCCTATCCCAAACCATCATTCTTCTCTCTTCTACTGATGAGACATGCCTTTGCATGCAAATCCCCCAAGTCCTGTTGGAAACGGCAATACTTCACTCTCTGCTACCGATGGCTAGTATCCCATTATGTATACGTGCAACACATTTCCTTTAAACATTCATTAACTTACGGGTGCTCGGGTTAATGAAAGAGCCTTTATTTGTATTTCTCATTTTCCCTCCATCTTCATCTTCCAGTTCTTCTCAAATAGGTATCTGTAATCCCGACTGGCCTAGAACTCCCTATGAAGACCAGGCTGGCCTTGATCTAAGATCCACCTATGTCTGGCTCCACATGCAGAGATGCTACACCTAGCCTCATGTGAAGCTTCTTGAGAACATAAGTAATTTCCTACACACTTGGGTAATATCTGGCTAACTAGGTCCCGAACATCGCCATATATTGTCATTAGTGCAGGCATAAAAGCAGCCAGAGTGGAACTCAGAAGGGACAACTCTGCGGGTAGGGCCAGTGAATACATTTCAGAAGCTGGTTGAACTTGAGATAAGTTCTCCAACTGTTGGTCAACCAAAGGAGGGAAGTGGGCAAGAGAGGAGCCTGACAGATGAGCCGGAGGAAAGCAGGGAGAACTCAAAGGCCTTGGAAGATTTTGAAGATTTGTAGCAGTTAACCAGTGCCATCAATTGGCAATTTAGAAGGGACACTAACACTAGAGAGATTTTTCAGGACCAATATAACTGAATAGGAAGTTATTCAGTCAGGGGCTGGAGTTAGGCTCAATAGGCCTTGTAAACATGAGGAGTTGGGTTTGATCCCTAGAAGCCATGTTAAAAAACAAAACAAAACAAAACAACAACAACAACAACAAAAAACCCTGGCAGGGTGATGTGCACGTGTAAAGCCAGCGCTGGGTAAGTAGAGACAGACAAATCCCGGGGGCTCACTGGCCAGTCAGTTTAGCCTATTTGCAATTCCAGACCAAGGCCAGAACCTGATTTAAAACAAAAGGAGCCAAGCAAATGAAAATAAAAATTATCTTTTGCTCACATGTATACATGGGTGCGCGCACACACACACACACACACAAAACCTCAGTGACAAATGAGTACTAAGGATAACTACAGGATAAGAGCAAACAAAGAGACATAGAATATGGAGGATAAAGTTCTGAACAGATATAAATGAAGGAGGGAGGAAGGGAGGGAGGGGAAGAGGGAGGGTATGGAGGGAGGGTGACAAGGACAATCCCTTAGGGTCTCTCTCACGGCACAGGCATTCTTTTCCCTTTTCTAATAAACAAAGCAGCTTTCCAAGATACGGGGAATGAGAAACAAAAAGGGGACTTCTTTGCTAAAACAAGATTTATCTCTATGCCCCAAACACAACATACACAAACAGACTTCTCAGACAGAATAAGAAACTGGAAGGCCTAAAAATAAGAATTCTAATGTAAGATGCCAGTATGTGAAACTTTTAGAATTTGGACTTTTGGGGGTTTTGGATGATCAACTGGTAAAGTCCATGCAAATATTACGAAAAATATGTAAAGGCCGTGAATCTCAAACACTTCTGGTTCCAGGTATTTGGGATAAGGAATACGTTGATTGAATGAAAATGACTCCCACTGGCTCCTAGGGAATGGTACTGTTGAGGTGTGGTCTTGTTGGAGGAAGTGAGTCACTAGGGGTGGGCTCTGAGGTGTGAAATGCTCAAGCCAGGCCTAACGTGACTCTCTTCCTGCCGTGTGGATCCACACGTAGAACCCTAGGATCCTCCCCAGCACCATGTCTGCCTGCGCACAGCTATGCTTCCAGCCCTAATCAAGCGTCTTCCTTTGTAAGAGTTGCCATGGTTACAGTGTCTCCTCACAGCAATAGAAATCCTAAAACTAAGACAGTAGTCAACACATATTGAACAACCACAACCAGAAACTGGAGGTCCAAGATGAAGTACAACAACAGGGAACTATGGATGGCTATTTGTGGGGACTTTGACTCCTCAATCTCTTACCTATCCAATTCCTCTCAACTCCTCAGGGTCATTACTGAGAAAGTCAAGTAGAAGTGGCAAACCAGACGCAAGGAAGACAGGTTCAACAAGGTTGCTAGGTTACAGACAGGACCAAAGGAAGGTGTGCAACGAACAGCTCTGGCTTCCTTTAATTACCTAGGTTCAAGGATAACCTACTAGCCAGCGTATTAAGAAAGTTATGGTACAGGCCGAGAGAACAATCTGGATGAGGGCGGTGGGCAAGGGGATAACTTCACAGAGAGCAGTGCACCATGGGTCAACAAATTAACACAACACATCACGGGCTGACCGGTCGGTTAGAAACTTACCAAGCTGTACTAGCCGCTGCAAAGTCTCGGAATGATCTATGTAGTCTCCAAGTGTGGAGGAGGAGAGAGGCAACAGAGGGTGAGCAACAATCTGAACAGCCTCCTCCTCTGAAACTGGTTGCATGGGAGACAATGGAGGTAAGTCGTCCAAGTCTTTGCAGTGAGTCATGAGGAAAGAGAGAAGAAAGTCAGCACTGTCATGTACACGTGAGAAGTTATTTCTACAAAGGGGCTACAGAAGAGTACTTATAGCTCTTGTACTTTGTATCCCAGCACCTACAACAGGGAGCTCACAGCCCTGTAACTCCAATTCTAGGGCCTCCAATACCATCCTGTGGGCTGCATGGGTACCTATACTCAAACGTATACACGCATACACATATGCACCATTAGAAATAAAATTCACCTTAAGAAAGAAGGCAACCCAACATCTATTTCTGTAAATATTCTCTTCCCTAGTTTGTGTCTTTCACTGAGTAAGTACTGAGATCATTTCAGAATTAGATGTTTATAAAGTTCAAGCCTAGAGTGATAGGTCACACTTGTAATCCCAGCATTCCACCGGGGAGGCTGAGACAGGAGAATTACAGCAAGTTTGAAGCCAGCATGGCCTACCAGTTGTGACCCCCACAGCACAAAGGTCCAGAAGTATTTGAGCAACCAGAGAGACCAACTATTCTCCCTTCAAAGTAAGAAGTTTGTTGGTAAGGTTCAAGGTATTCAATCCATTTTTGAGACAGTGATCACAAACATGGCAACCTCCCACCACAGCCTCCTAAATGCCGGGGTTACAGGTTACCTTGCCTGAGTATTAAAGATCTACTGGTCTTCAACCACATTCTGAGAGGCATGGTTTGTGAACTTGGCCAAAAGTATGACTTTTTTTTAATATCCCAAATCCACATTCTAAAGTTAAGCTATCTAGAATTTATTTATTTTGATCCAATGCCCTCCTCTCCAAATTCTCTTAAGAGAATTTCTATGTTCCTACCATCTGTAATCCTTTGTCCAACCTCTATTCTGGCCTGATACAGAGCTCTTTGCTATTATTTTTAATATGACTTGGTATGGGAGACATTTGAAAATTTAATTTTAAGGAACTCAGACTATGATCTCTTATTTTACTCTATTAACTATCCTTTCTCATTCTTCACAGCCAGCTTCTCCTCCCTGCCTCCTACTTAGCATTCATTCACATTTAATAATGGAGTATTATTCTACCTATGATATACCAATGTAATCCTGTGTTAACAGTCATGGAGAGGAGTGTTGACTATAAAGCAATTCAAGGGAAATTCACTGTTCCCATTTGTTAATTATTACACAGTTAAATATACATGGCAAAACTGTATACTTCTATAGTGGATTTTCTGGGGTGGCCTAGGGGTGTGGCTTCGGGTGTGTGGACAGACATGACTCCTTACAGGGAAGAGAGGGACTCTCTCTCTCACTCTCTCTCTCTCCCCCCTCCCTCTCTCTCTTGGGTTGTGGTCAGTGCATCTGCATCTAGTGTGCGGCCCCCGTCACAAATCCTCTGGCTGAACAGGATGCTGCTACAAACCCCAAAGACAAATATAATATCAACGAAACCCTAATAGTTCTAATTAATGCCAAAAAGGACACTTTCCAAAAAAAGCTACAAAATCAAATATTTAGAAAGCAAATTTTTTTTTTTTTTTACACATTTAGCTATAACATAATTTGACACAAATTAACCTGGGAATTTACTAAAACAGCAGTTTAATGGAACCGGCATTGTTCCTTTTCCTGCCGATTATAAAACAGGACATGAAATGGGTATTGTCTAAATATGTAGCATGATCAAAACTACCCCTGAAAAGGGGACTTTTCTCAGTGTCCAGAATTACCTTCCAGAGGCAGCTCAGACTCAAGACTGGGTGCCATCTCTGGCTTTTCTCTCACTGCAGGAAGCAGAGTGGTTTGCGAAGAACTTTTCTCTTGCCCACTGGAGTTGGCAGACTGGAAACTATTCCACAAGGAGGAAGTCCTGTAAGTCTTAACTCCCCACTGGAGAAAGCAATTGTCAGAGGACCACAGAGCCTGAGGTGAGACGATGTTTGACAATGTTTTTCCTGGTCTTGCAGGCTGTTTTGTGATTTGTGAAGCTTTAATAAAGGTACTCAGTTTAACTGAGTTGATCCATCTGGGTATTTGTCCCACTAACAGAGCCATTTTCCTCTTCATCTACAAAGGAAAAACGGGACCATCAAGAGAAGAAAGATTAACTCACTCAAATGCTTAAAACAGTAGTCAAACAGCAAATAATAGATAAAAAATTACTTCCTAAAATAAAGGATTTAAACACATATGTCCAGGGTAGTCAAATGTTTCTTACACATGAAAAGCCACAAGCAAAGGCAGTCTCAGCTACCAACCAAAAGAGGAACTTCACAACTGGAAAAATAAAGATATGCTTTACAATTTAAAAACAAAACAAAGAATCACTTTAAACCAAAAAAAGTCTAAATGCTCAAATTTACAACAGAGCCACATCAACCGTTAATCTGCTCTTTAAAAGGAAACTGAAACAGCAATGCGATGAAATGTTCTTGGAACTTGGTTTGAAGAGAAGTTAGGAAATACACTGCAGATCATAATGCTGAGCTATTAAAATGTGTTCTATGCATATTAATTAGTCACAAAGTAAACAAAAAGAAACCCACTGTTTTAAATGAGTCATAAATAACATTGCTAAACAGAAGACTGGAACTGTTGACTGAATCTGATACCCAGTCCTTCAAAAGAGAACAAAGGTGGTTTGGTAAAAAATCCCGCTGCAAGAAAAGCAACAGCTTTCAAACAGAAAGGGTCAAAATAAGGAGCAGTTAGGCGTGGTCATGAAGGCCTCCTCTAAGACACAGACAGCATCAAAAGTTTAAGGAAAGCTGGAGAAAATAAAAAATAACAAAACCCAAACAAGTAACAAACCAATTCCAATATCAAAACAGCAGAAACAAAGAAGTGACCAGCTATATTTAAATATTAATTAAGATAATCCATATATAAACCAGTATGGGGCATTATGCCTGAAATCCTAGTACTTAGTAGCCTGAGGCAGGATTATTCAAAGTTCAAGCCTAGAATGAGCTACAAATGTGAGACAGGTTCAAATATATAATATGTAAATGGGAAAGGCTCAATAAATGGTAGACATGATTATTATGGACTAGACAGACAAAAATGTTAATTATCAATTAACTCTTGCTTATGACTCTGTACCGTGTTTCTCTACACAATGGGATTCAGCTTGTTTTATGCCCTGAATTGAGTGTCTAATGTCTTGGAGGATCTAATAACAAACATCCTTCTGAGATGACCCAAGGAACGATGTGTTTGCAACAACCTTGTGGGATAGGTAACTCTTGCTACATTTTAGTTGAAAAGGAACTTCCCAACCTGTCAAAATTTCCCTCATCTTCTTCTGGTCTCCACAGTGGTCACATCAAAGTGGGAACTCAGTTAAGTCACCTAGACAAGACTAAACTTCTAGTGCAGCTTCAGCAAAGCCAGCCACAAATGGCTGAGGACAGCTATGAGAGGTGTGGCTCAATACAAAATCATAAGCTTTCTTAAAATATCCCCCCCCTCACGGGGGTGGTAACTTGATAGCCAGGTTCTTGATGTGAACTTGGCAATACCAAGACTGTACGTGCCATTCTAGCCCACGATGAAGACTCGAAGTCTATTCTACACACAATGGTTTTGCGTGTGCTGTGCTGGAGAAAACTCAACAGCTACAGTTTAACCTGTGCTACACTCTCAGCTCCCACGCATGTTTTTATAAAGGTGGCAAATACAATAAAACGATCTGTCAAAGCACTTGGCGATACTTCCAAACTAACGCCCAGAACCCCAACTTCATTCTGGAGTCTGTCCAGACTCAAATGCAGTCACTTTCCCACATCTACTGAACTCACTGTTAAATTGCATTTGCATTCAGAGGTCTGAATGCTGAAGACTAATTTTTACTCTCCGCTTTTACTTGCCACTACACTCCCCTCACATAACCGATTCAATGTCTAAACCATCTGAACAGAAGGAAAAAGCAGAGCTCCGCCCCCTCCTTGGACCCACTTTCCCAGGGACTCTTCAAACTAGAACCTTGAACCTCAGGGGATTCCAGTTTGTTGAGTGGGAGTGAATATACAGCACTCAGAAATGAGTACAGCTTTGCACTCCTGTACAATGCTCTGCGGTGTGTACATTAGTTAGACGAAAGAAGAAGAAAAAAAAAATCCTTAACATCTCTCGAGTCAACCTTAGCTTATTCCAGTTCTTGGAGGTACCTTTGTATTATTTTGTTAGGAACCGGGGAAAAGCGCGGAGACAGGCTTTTCTGGGTTCAAGATCTCTACCGTTAACTAATCCTGCCTGAGTTCCGGAGATGAAAGGCGCACTTCGTAATAAAGGGCCTCTAGGCAGCGCGGCCTCTCTCCCCATGGCCATTTAACCAAGCGTTCTGCTAGAACGCCTGGGAGTCCCCAACAGAACTTCCGCAGGAGGCCGGGGCACTCTCCGGGCCCCGTCCAGTGCTGATCAATAAGCCCGGCAGGCAGCCTTGCCTCTACAAGGTCCAGGACCGCACAGGACAAGCCCGAGCCCCCCTCTCCGGGCCACCGAGAACCTACCGAGCCGCGAGGCTCCCAGCTGCTGCCGGCTGCAGGCAGACCACACTCCGGCACCGCGGAGCCGCCGCCTGGCGCTCCCACTCCACCGGGGCCGGGTCCGCGGCGGCGCACACCGAACCGGGCCGCACTGCCGGGTCGCCCAGCAAGCCAGCGATTCGCCGCTCCCGCCCCGCGCCGCCACCCACGTGTGCGGCTCTCCGAGTGGGCGAGACCATCGGCGCAGGATCGGGAGGGGACACCGCAAGGAGTAGTCGGGGACAGAGGCTGCCGGGGTCTTGGACGCCCTGCACCCCGATCGACGCGTCCATAAGAGCCGTGTCTCCGCGGCTGTGTCGGGGAGGGTGAGCGCTCCGCGATGTCGCCGTGCCAGGGCCAGCCGCCGCCGCCGGCCGCGCTCTCCCCCCACCTCGGGCCGCGGTGGTGGCGCCGCGACCCCGCCCTCCCGCGTCCGTCCTTCCCTCTGCTAGCACCCTTCGCAGGGCGCCAGACCGGGTCCCAGCGTCAAGCGGCTACATCGCCGCGCTCCGTCACTGCCAGGGTCCCAGCCTTCGCGGGCCGGGGCCTCCCCCGCTGCGGCAGGACGGGGAGAAGAACCATGGCGTCCTGCGTGGGGAGCAGGACCCTGAGCAAGGATGATGTGAACTACAGGATGCATTTCCGCATGATCAACGAACAGCAAGTGGAGGACATCACCATAGACTTTTTCTACCGGCCGCACACTATCACCCTGCTCAGCTTCACCATCATCAGCCTCATGTACTTCGCCTTCACCAGGTGAGGTGGGCCCGGCGGCGCGCGGGGCGCCCGAGGGCAGAGGCGAGGGAGGGTGGCCCGGTGTGACTGGTGGTGAAGCGAGTAGCTGCTCCACGCGTGCAAGCTCACGGACACACGGCCCACGCAGCTCCTCCTCCCACCGCGCGTGCTAGCAGTCCTCTCCGCCTACTCTTCCACCTGCCACCCCTCACCTACGAATCCTACGTCTCACATTCGGTGCCTTGGGCCACACCAGGAGCTCATGCAGGTCACCTAGCCGGGTCACCCACATCTCTCGCTCTGCATCATTACCCACACGTCACTGCCGGGACGCTGTGCTCACCAACCACTTCATCCGCGGTCTGTTCCTAGCACACCGCATGAATCATTTTATGGCTGCACCGCTTTCAGGACAAACTACACACGTAAAACACACCATACACAGGCCTGGTATACACTAGATCTCCAATGAACTCCTCTGGTATTCAGTATTGTCAGGCACACACACACAGGGGCGGGCACACGCACACACACACACACACACACACACACTGCATATGTGAGGTGCACCACCCCCTTTCCCAATGCCACACCTTCTGTATGCATTGCATACAATCATCTAACATAACCTTTTCCGAAATCTCAAATGGCACCTGTCTATGCCACAGCCTCAACACACATCCCAGTGGACAGACACCTCGAATCAAACACAGCCCAATACCAACTAGCTCCAATGCACTGTACTGCATAGACTATAGCAGATCACACATCACATGGGGCAGACCCCGCCCGCCCTGTCATCCATCTCCTGGCATACACGCTGAAAGGAGATTGTGTAGTACCTGGAGACTACTAAACACTATTCTAAACAAGACACAGTGTACACAACATAACACAGCGCTTATAAGTGCATATGTTCATACTTTTCAAGGGCTTCTGCATCTGTGGCCCCTCAACCCCAGCCAAGGAGCTAATGGACCCCACAGCACACATACCCCATTTTTATTTATGATTTATATTACCTGAATTACATTTTTAAAGGGGGGGTTCATACCCTACCCACCACACCACTATGGCTTCTAAGAGTGACAGAGAGAGACTGTTGGTTTCAAAAACTGGCTGTGGTTTTAGTGGAGTTACTTATCTTTGTTCTGAGTGTGAGTAAAATGTTTGTATTCACCTCAGGGTTATGAAGACTAAACAAGTGTATGCAGACCTGTTGAGTAGAGCACCTGGTATATGATGCCCCATTCACAGCAGCTTTCTTCAGTTCCCAACCCTTTTTTTCTTTGTGATAGGATTAGACATGTACCCCAGGCTGTCCTTGAAGAATGATAGGGTTAGACATATAGCCCAGGCTATCCTTGAATCCTCACTCATTCTGCCTTAGCCTAGTGTTGTGAGCATAGGCTTGTACCCACCACACCCAGCTTCTCTTGATTCTCTTGTCCAATAATCCATCACAGTCAGGGGGAAATATAAAGAGATAAGTTGACCAGTCACAAGGACAAAGGCATGTAATGCTACATAGGAGACAGCACTGTACAACTCAAACTAAATTGCAAATGTTTATTTTATGAATCACTTCAAAGATAGAAATAGTAGGTAACAGTTATTCTTTCTTAAGGGTGCCGTGACCATCAGCATAAAGTCCCATGGTATTTTGCAGATGAGACCTATAGTCTCTGGCTTTGGAGAGAACTCCCTCCTGAGACTAATTATGGTTACATTCAACTACTCATCTTGCCAACTGATTTTACCACATAGAATATGTATGCCCACATGAATTTGTTAAGCCCCATTTTCCATATCAATACGCAAAGTGAAAATGTCAGTATTAACACCTTGTAGAATTTTCATGAGAATCAATCTTTCCTGTAGTTGTTTAGCTCAGTGCTTGGCACTGGGTTAAGTGGTTAAGAAGCATGATTTCACTGTTTGATAATGCTTTCTAAATTACATTTGTTACTGAATAGGATACACTTTGTTCTGGGATTGAGAAAAAAGGTAGAGGGACTGGCATATGAACTTAGTATGACATACCTACCTTTCACACTAGCTTCATCTAGTAAGTGGGTTTGAAATGACAGAATGGTGAGGTGGAGGGGGCTATCTTTTGAAATGTGAAAAGCAGTTACACTATTTTATTTTAGATGGTAAAAATCGATATGCCTTTAATATGATTGTAGGCCCTTTCAAAAATAGATCTGCCTTTCTCTTTTCTAAGGCAGAAAGTAATGTTCTGAAATTTTCTTTTTTATGCTATATTCTGTCTAGTTGATGCATTGTGGCAGTGAAGTATGAAAAATGAGTATGAATTTTAGCAGCTTGTCAAAAGTAATAAAAAAAAAAGCATAATCTGAACCTTGGGCTATGGACCTTTCCAGAAGTTATAGCAATTTTATTTCTTATGCTAATTTCATAAAGAAATCACACAATGAGGAACTAATTAATCATAGTTTACCTTACACAAAATTAGAAACATACTTAATAGTTATTAGTATCTATTTTTGTAATAATTTATGATCCATGTAAGTGGGATATTATAAAAATAGCTAAATTTCAGTCCAAGAAGGCTGAAAAATGTTCTTTTTTAATTTTTTATTTCTTCTTATGTTGTTTTGCCTGCATGTGTGAGGGTGTTGGATCCTCTGGAACTGGAGTTACAGACAGTTGGGAGGCACCATGTGGTTGCTGGGAATTGAACCCAGGTTCTCTGGAGAGAGCCCCAGGTGCACATAACCACTGAGCCATCTCTTCAACCCCGAAAGGGATGGTTTGTAAAATGAAAAATTTTTACTATGCTCTTTTGTAATGACTGACTGCAGTACATTATATGAACTTATAGTTAGACAATGTTCAGTGCAGTTCTTTCAAACTTTTAAAATATGGCTGAATGTTGGTTTTGCAGAGACCCAGTTCACTTGAGAGAATAGAATACTTTGGGAGTTTTTTATTACTAGGATGTGAGAATAGTGCCTGGTGAGATTACGCCCTATGATTACCCTGCAAGAATTTTGGGATGTGAAGGATTTGTTACCTCAAACAAAGGTCTGAGGTGAGGTTGGGTTTGTTCAGGAGTTCTTCTGTTAAAAAGTTCCTTTGGGTTGAGTATCACTCAAGGGTACTTATTGATGGGAGCTTAAGTACAGGGTTCGCTATTGGAAGATGGTAGAATCGTTCAGAGATAGTGCCTACTGGTAGGTTCTTATAGTCAGTCACTAAGGGCATATTCTTGGAGGGTCACTTTTATATACCGCACCCTGAAACATCACTAGTAAAGTCTTGTAAGTGGAGGAAACCTGTTCTCTTCTCTCCTACTTTAAATGCAGTCATTTGACATAGGGACTTTCCATCAGCCAAGGCTACCTAGTAAGAACCTGTCTCAAAACCAAAACAAAGCAACCCCCAAGATTACAATCACACGGGTTTCTGCTGTTGTTACCCATCATCTGAAGAGATGCTGTGAATTGGCAGCCTTGTTAGCACTTGCCAACAGGAATTGTTCCCTGTCTAGATTGCCTCATTGCAAATGGCTGTACCTATGTGATTGTCGCTCATTTGTTCTTTGGTTGTCAATCATTTGCTCTCATTTTCTCCGGATACAGAACCAAGAGAATAGACAACCGACAGAGGAGTGGGCAGATGTTTGATTTGTTTTTAAGTAATGGTTCTTACTTAATTTCCTTTAACCAACTTTGGAAGTTACACTTTTTCATTTTTCCTTGGACCATATTTCTGGCTCTCTTTGGAAGTTATACTTTTTCATTTTTCCTTGGACCATATTTCTGGCTCTCTTTAAGGTTCTCTAGGGGCTTCTCAAAGCCTTCCTGATTTTTCTCTGGAAAACACATAAAGACCCAATAGAAAATGCCTCCCAATGCTACCAATGAAGTTGTCTTTGTCCTGCTTTCCTATATCATATTTTTTCTCTATATAACAGAAGCCTTGATGTCTCTGGCACCAGCAATATTAATTGATGGCTCAAGAAGTACACAACAGAGGCTAGACCAACTCTAGAGGTAGACAGAGTATGTTAGGCTGAATTGTGTTGGGTTTCATTTGAAGTCCTCGCCATCGCTGTTTCCCAGCTATCTGAATCATTTTAAAATTAGAATTAAATAGACATTTTTTATGTGGTTTTAAACTTATCTTTCTTTCTTTGTTTTCTTTTCCCCCGATAAGATCCTAAACTTAATAAAGGCAAGAGCTATCTATTACTCTGAGGTCATCTGTAGAGAATAGGCCTTTGGATGACTCAGATGTTTATTTGGTTTCAATGGTGCCTTACCCTAAAGAGATTATATATCAAGGAATCGCTGCCTCTTGGGCTCCTCTTTAGTAAACAGTGCTAATTTAGATTGGTTCTTTCAAATACTTGTTTATTGTTTCAAATATCACGGTTTATCTTGGGATAGTATGCTTGGAGCGCTAGATTTATGCACAGGAGTCAGTTGTTTTTAAATTTCAGATAGTTCAAAAACCAGGACTGGTGCAGTGAGCTTGGTCTGCCTTGTGTTCAGTGCTGCTCATCAGCCGAGCAAACCCTATTCCATGGAGCCTACCTCTTTGCTACCTAAGGTTCACCTGGCGTATCTTTTGTAGATCTTTTGGGCCTTAGCTGTTCTCCTTTGACCATTTCAAACTTTAGCTGGGCAAATCATCAGCCCCTTGGGAGGGCGTACTCTCAGGCCTATCCGTCAGGCTCATTACCTGCCTGCCCCCTGCTGGTTGGGTAGCTGTCTGGGGAAAGGGCAAGCAGGTGTGGAGGCCCTACCTCATGGAGTAGGTTACTTGTCTTTTTGACTTTTGCTCTTCCATGTCTGCGCCCAGCGTACCCTTCAGGCTCAGGTAACTCCCTGGGTCGTCCCATACTGCTGTCTCTCTGTATCCTGGCTCCTCTGGCCCACTCACAAGCCCACAGCAGCCTTCACAGCTCATTTGGATGGTTCTTTTCCTGCACACCTTTCTTGGTGTTCCAAGAAGCACAGAGGATGACTTGTGTATATAGTTCTCAGTGC